CCTTGATCCCAAAACCAAAGGCCCCACTAAAAAGGAGAATTACGGACCAATATCCCTGATGAACATGGTTGCAAAAATTCTCCCCAAGATACTAGCTAATAGGATTCAACAGTACATCAAAAGGATTATTCACCACGACCAAGTGGGATTTACTCCTGGGCTGCAGGGTGGTTCTACATCTGCACATCAATCAGTGTGATATACCACATTAATAAAAGAAAGGATAAGAACCATATGATCCTCTCAGTAGATGCAGAAAAAGCATCTGACAAAATACAGCATCCTTTATTGATAAAAACCCACCATGTAAGGATAAAGGGTACATACCTCAACATCATAAAAGCCATATATGAAAGACCCACAGGGAATATCATTCTCAACAGGGAAAAACAGAGCTTTTCCCCTAAGGTCAGGAACATCCAGGGATGTCCACTCTCACCACTATTGTTCATCATAGTACTGGAAGTCCTAACCTCAGCAATCAGACAACAAAAAGAAATAAAAGGCATCCAAATCAGCAAAGAAAAAATCAAACTTTCACTCTCTGCAGACGACATGATACGCTATGTAGAAAACCCAAGAGACTCCACCAAAAATTTGCTAGCACTGATACAGGAATTCAGCAAAGTCACAGGATATAAAATCAATGCACAGAAGTCTGTTGCATTTCTATACACTAACAATGAAGCAGCAGAAAGAGAAGGAATCAATCCATCTTCAGTTGCACCAAAACCCATAAGATACCTAGGAATAAACCTAACCAAGGAGGTTAAAAGATCTTGTACTCTGAAAACTATAGAACACTGATGAAAGAAACTGAGGAAGACATAAAGAAAAACATTCCATGCTCATGGATTGGAAGAACAAATATTATTAAAATGTCTACAACTACGCACAGCAATCTACACATCCAATGCAATCCCTATCAAAATAACAGCAGCATTTTTCACAGAGCTGGAACAAACAATCCTAAAATTTGTATGGAACCAGAAAAGACCCTGAATAGCCAAAGGAATGTTGAAAAACGAAAATCAAAACTGGAGGCATCACAATTCTGGACTTCCAGCTCGATTACAAAGTTGTATTCATCAAGACAGTATGGTATTGGCACAAGAACAGACACATAGCTCAGTGGAACAGAAGAGAGAACCCAGAAATGGACTCTCAACTCTATGGTCAACCCATCTTCAACAAAGCAGGAAAGAATATCCAATGGAAAAGACAGTCTCTTCCACAAGTGGTGTTGGGAAAATTGGACAGCCACATACAGAAGAATGAAATTGGACCATTTCCTTACACCATACACAAAAACAGACTCAAAATGGATGAAAGACCTAAATGTGAGACAGGAATCCATCAAAATCTTAAAGGAGAACACAGGCAGCAACCTCCATGACCTCGGCCACAACAACTTCTTGCTAGACACGTCTCCAGAGGCAAGGGAAACAAAGGCAAAAATGAACTACTGGGACTTTGTCAAGATAAAAAGCTTTTGTAGAGCAAAGGAAACAGTGGACAAAAACCAAAGGACAACTGACATACTGGGAGAAGATATTTGCAAATGTCTTATCAGATAAAGGGCTAGTATCCAAAATCTATAAAGAACTTATCAAACTCAACACCCTAAACAAAAATAATCCAGTCAAGAAATAGGCAGAAAACATGAACAGACATTTCTCCAAAGACATCCAAATGGCCAACAGACACATGAGAAAATGCTCTACATCACTGGGCATCAGGGAAATACAAATCAAAACCTCAATGAGATACCACCTCACATCAGTCAGCATGGCTAAAATGAACAAGGCAGGGAACGAGAAATGCTGATGAGGATGCGGAGAAAGGGGCACCCTCCCACACTGCTGGTGGGAATGCAAGCTGCGGCAGCCACTCTGGAAGACAGCATGGAGGGTCCTCAAACAGTTAAAAATAGAACTAGCCTACAACCCACAATTGTAGTACTAGGTATTTATCCAAAGGATACAAACAGTGATGTGAAGGGGCACATGCACCCCAATGTTTATAGCAGCAATGTCCACAATAGCCAAACTACGGAAAGAGCCCAGATGTCCAACCACAGATGAATGGATAAAGAAGCTATGGAGTGGGGGCGCCCGAGTGGCTCAGTTGTTAAGCATCTGTCTTCGGCTCGGGTCATGATCCCAGGGTCCTGGGATCGAGCCCCGCATCGGGCTCCCTGCTCAGCGGGAAGCCTGCTTCTCCCTCTCCCACTCCCCCCTGCTTGTGTTCCCTCTCTCGCTGTGTCTCTCTCTGTCAAATAAATAAAATCTTAAAAAAAAAAGATGTGGAGTGTGTGCGCGTGCGTGCACACAGGCACGCGCGCACACACAAACACAGGAACATTACTCAACCATCAAAAAGAATGAAATCTTGCCATTTGCAAAGACATGGATGGAACTGGAGGGTATTATGCCAAGTGAAATAAGTCAGTGAGAGAAAGACAAATTCCATACGATTTCATCATATGTGGAATTTAAGAAACAAAACAGATGAACATAGGAGAAGGGAAGGGAAAATAAAATAAGATGAAAACAGGGAGACAAGCCATGACCCTTGACTCTAGGAAACAAACTGAGGGTTGCTGGAGGGGAGGTGGGGGGGGGGATAACTGGGTGATGGGCATTAAGGAGGACAGTTGATGTAATGAGCACCAGGTGTTATATGCAACGGATGAATCACCATATTCCACCCCTGAAACTAATAATACACTGTGTGTTAACTAAATTGAATCCAAATAAAAATTAAAAAAGGAAAACAATTACAACAGCATCATAAAGAATAAAATACTCAGGAACAAATTTAGATGTGTACACTGAAAGCTACAAAACAGCTTTGAAAGAAACTAAGAAAACCTAAATAAATGGAAAGACACCCCATGTTCATGGCTAGGAAAACTTAACATAGTTGATGGCAATACTCCCCAAAATGATCCACAGATTCAACACAATCTCCATCAAAATTTCAGTTGGTTTTTTTGCAGAAAGTGACAAGCTGATTCCAAAATTCATATGGAAATTCAAGGGATCCCCGATAGCCAAAACAATCATTGAAAAGAGCAAAATTGAAGGGTTCACACATTATAGCTGACTGTAAAACTACAGTGATCAAGACAGTGTGGCATTAGGACAGATATACAGATCAATGGAACAGAATGGAGAATCCAGAAATAGACCCTCACATTTACAGTTAATTGATTTTCAACAAGGATGCCAAGACAATTCGATGAGGGAAGAACAGTCTTTTCAACAAATGGTGCAGGAAAAACTAAACAGCCACTGCAAAAGAATGAAGTGGGACACATACCATACACCATACATAAAACTAACTCAAAATGGATCAAAGACCTAACTGTAAGAACTAAAACTATAAAACTCCTAGAAGAAAACACAAGTGTCAATCTTCATGACTTTGGATTTGGCAATGGATTCTTGGACATAAGGCCAAAGTGCAAGCAACAAAAGAAAAGGTAAATAAATTGGACTTGATCAAAACTAGAAACTTTTGTGTTCCAAAGTATTCATCTGGTATGGGAATGGGAGAAAATATTTGTAAATCAAATCTCTGAGGGACGCCTGGGTGGCTCAGTCAGTGAAGCGTCTGCCTTCGGCTCGGGTCATGATCCCAGGGTCCTGGGATCGAGCCCCGCTTCAGGCTCCCTGCTCAGCGGGGAGTCTGCTTCTCCCTCTGCCTCTGCCTGCTGCTCTCCCTGCTCGTGCTTTCTTGCTCCGTCAAATAAATAAATAAAATATTTTTTTAAAAAAAATCAAATATCTGGGCGCCTGGGCGGCTCAGATGGTTAAGCGTCTGCCTTCGGCTCAGGTCGTGATCCCAGGGTCCTGGGATCGAGTCCCGTGTCGGGCTCCCTGCTCCTTGGGAGCCTGCTTCTCCCTCTGCCTCTCTCTCTCTCTCTCTCTCTCTCTCTCTCTCTCTCTCTCTCCCTGTCTTTCATGAATAAATAAATAAAATCTTTAAAAAAAAAAATCAAATATCTGACACGGCTTGTATCCAGAAAATAAAAAGAATTCTTACAACTCCACAATAAACAACAAATAACCCAATTAAAAAGTGGGCAAAAGAACCAAATATAGACATTTCTCTATAGAAGATCTACAAGTGGCCAATAAGCACATGAAAAGATAACCAACATCATTAGTCACCAGGGAAATGCAAATCAAAACCACAACGAGACAGCCCTTCCCACCCACCAGGACGGCTGCAATCTAAAAGATAAACAGATGTTGGTGAGGATGTGGAGAAACTGGAAACTGCTGGTGGGAATGTAAAATGGTACAGTCACTTTGGAAAAGTTTGGCACAAAGTCCCTCAAAAACATGTCTTCAGTTAAAAACGTACACAGTGACATTCATAGCATTAGTTATAATAGCCAAAATGTGAAAATAATTATTTCAAAAGCTGGACAAGATTTCCAGGGCAGGGGAGGGTTTCTTTGAGTGACGTGGGCATGGATTAGGGGCACCCCCGTAAAGAAAGCTGCAGGAGGGCAGCTAGTCAGGGAAAGTGCATGGGCCTGGGACCGGGGCCTGGGTTCGAGGCGTGACCCTGTCACCCAGTGACCTAGAGCAAGTTGTTTTGACACCTCCCCTGTGAAACGGGACTAGGACAAGTACCTCCTGCCACAGGTGAGTGTGACAACTACTGGCATATAAGGTACTTACGCCAGGGCCAGTGGGTATGAAGTCTTCAACTGAGGACAGGCTGTGCTCTGTCCTTTCGGGCACCATAACCAGAGCTCTGCCTGCGGCCTCCTCAGTTGTGCTCCCCATCTTGGCCCCAGGGGCGGCTAGAGTCTGTGCAAGGGAATCCTACAGACTGCTGCCCCAGGGGGCTTAGGAGCAGTGGCTCGGGATGCTGGCTCCCTAGACTGAGGAGCAAAGGCCTGGGGAAAGAAACCCCTCCCACCCCTAACCCGGCCTCACCGAGGCCCCCAGCCTGTGGGGCCAGACAGGACCCTCTCTTACCTTCAGGAGCTCCTGGTCATCCAGCCCACACAGCATCAGCTCATGGCCTAGTTTCACCATCTCTGTCGGAACACAAGGATCCTGTTACTGCAGACGCCCACCCAAACAGGAGGGGATGCCATGCAGCCAGGGGTGCCCAAACGTGCAGAGTGCCGAGCGCTGCTCTAGGGAGAGTGCTTCTGCTGTGGCATTGGCGGGCCAGTGCCCAAGAGGCCACGCGGGGCCACAAGGCCTGGGCGGACAAGGAGGCAGAGGGACAACATGCCCAGGACTGCCTCTTGCTGTGTGACTTACACCTCTGTGGGTATCAGTTTCCTGCACTGAAATAAGGGGTCACGTCTGATGTTCTTCCATATAAGGAACTCTGGCTTCTAGCAGAAGCCAGCCAGCCACCTGAGGAGCAGACGCAGAGCTCAGGGAACCTTCTAAAGTTGCTGTGTGCCACCGTTTCAGAGAACCATGGCTCACATGTGTCAATTTCCTACAGGTCTTCATCAACATCTCCTTTCCCCTTGCTGGCAACTCTAGGAGGTGGGCCGCAGCTCCATTTTACAGATTGGGAAACTGAGTCACTGCATGGTACAGGGACTGCCCGGCCACATCTGAGTAACCATCTGATATATCGAGAAAGGCCAGGACTTGGAGCTAGAAAGCCTGGGGCCAATGTCAGCTCTGCGTCCCCGACCTAGCCCTGGGGCAATGTCTACTCCTTCATAGGCAAGGCCCATCTCCTACCCCCACATGCTCAGTAGTGGAACAGGCCGAACTCTGGCATCTGCTTTGGAAGGTTTGGTGCAAGAAGCAAGTAGAACATCTATGCCAAAGCATTAGTAACCCTGGAAACACGGTAGGAATACCAGTTAGACCCCCAAGCATGCCCACTGCCCACAACCCTGAACCCCAAATCCTCGTGTGCTCCGCGGCTCCTCTCCTGCTTAGCCCACACCCAAGTCTTAGTAAGTCTGGCCAATCCTCCCTTCACGGTAAACCCAGGATCTGGCCAACACTCCACTTTCACTGCCCCCCCTCCCATCTCTTGCCTGCATCACTGCAAGAGCCTTCCAGTGGTCTCCCTGCCTCTGCTCAGGCCTCTGTTCTCAACTCAGTGGCCTTAGGGACCCTGTTAAACCCAAAGTCAGGCCACAGCTTTCCTCAGAATAAAAGCTGTCCTTCCATGGCCTGATCTGGCCGGCCCCGATGCCTCTCTGCCCTCACCACTCTCCCCTTGCTCTCCACTCTGCACCAGCCACCTGGGCCTCCTTGGTACTCCTCACAGCTGCAAGGCACATGCAAGCCTACCTCAGGCCCTTTGCACTTGCTGTTCCTTTGCCCTGAACACTACTCTTCCTGATATCTGCCTGGCTCGCTTCCTCCCTTCCTGCAAGGCTGTGTTTAAAAGAGAGGCTTTCCCCAATGATCTTAATCAACAGTACCACCCTTCTCCCAACCCACCCATGTACCACTTTGCCCTCACTTGGCTTGGTTTATGGCACTTGTCACCATCCAACACAGAATTTCGCTGCCTTCATTTATCACCTGTCTCTCTCAGCCGCCACATGAGTGCCACGTGAGCAGCACAATTCACCACTGCACAGCCAGCACCCAGAACGATGCCAGGTGAGTAGGAGACACTCCACAAATAACGCTCAAATGAATTCAGGAATTCTCCTAATCCTCTCTGGAGGATTATACCCTTTGACAAGCACTCATGTCTGCGACCTGCTCTGACACTCAGCGCACTCCCATGAGGTGGGCAAGGCTCAGGTTATCACCCCCGCTTGACAGAAGAAGAAACTAAGGCTGGGAATGGCAAGGTCAAGGCTTTGGCTGGGCTAAGGGCAGGGCTGGCATCTGTGCGTGGGTGTGTGTTAAAGAATTCAGATGTAGTCTGATGGTTCACCTGGCCTTTACATGGTCCGATCAGTAGGAAAAGTGCCAGACATAACACACTGGGGAGAGGGGGAGCACTTCTGTGCAGCCCAGGCCGGCCCGCAGGCCAGTCCTGCAGGCTCCAAAACACAGCACCCTGTTCTTCCAGCCCATTTCAGCCTCGGGAGCAAGTGTCCCTGGACAATTAATTTGGCAGTGAGAGCTGGGGCCTGCACTGGAGCTCCAGGGTCCAGGTCACCCACCCTGGAACAGCTGAGCCAAATGCAAGCCCACAGAAAATTTGACTTTTAGAGACACCATAGTGAGGACTGTAATTTACTCCCCTTTGCCTAATGTTCATTACCAGATTAAGGACAGTTTCTGCCAACAAAGGATCGAAAAGAAGCCGTTACAAGACAAGCCCCTACGGAGAGCTGCCCAGCGCAAACACAGCAGGAGGCAGGATGATGGGGACAGAACCAACCAGAAGCATCGGCAAGAACCAGTCTCTGCCTCCAGTGCTTTGGTGGATGGGCTGGACAGAGTGACACGTTCCTGATCTCATTCACATGCCCCTATAAGAGGAACCATCCCCTTTGCCCATGCATAGTGTGTGTGTAGTAGGGCGCGCCCTGATTCTAGAAGGCTCTGGCAAGATCTCCAGGGTGTGCACCAGCCAGAAGTAAACACAATCCAATGGGAAATTCAGTGCAACTTGCCAAGGAGGCCATGCACCAGCTCAGAATTGTCCAGAATCCACCACCCAACTCCAAACTCCCGTAACACAGACCCACCTTGGATCTTCACCTCAACTGGGGCCCCCTTCAGCGAGCTGAACTTGTCTTGCCAGGAGGGACAGACCCTGTAGGGAAAGAGCGAAACTGGTCAGTCCTGAGCAGGCAGCAGAGGCCCCCTCATGACCCCTCCTTACATGTGCTCTGAAAAAGTGAATTACTTGTGCAAGTGCTAAATACCACTGAAAGGTTCACTTCAGATAGGTAATTTTATGTGATGTGAATGTCAACTCCATAAATTATTAGGGAAGAAAACCACAAAATATTTCTGAAAGTATACCTCAGAAATGTGAATCTGAATACTGAAATTTAAATTCTCACGATAGGGCGCCTGGGTGGCTCAGTCAGTTAAGTGTCTGCCTTCGGCCCAGGTCATGATCCCTGGGTCCTGGGATCCAGTCCCATGTTGGCAGCCTCCCTGCTCAGCAGGGAGCCTGCTTCTCCCTCTCCCTCTGCCCCTCCCCCTGCTCGTGTTCTCTCTCTCACGCGCACTCTCTCTCACATAAATAAATAAAATATTTAAATTCTCACAATAAGAAGACAAAATGACTGCCCAAGAGGAAAGTCCTGAATTCCTCAGAGCTCTAAGCTCTTTCTCAGAAGGAACCACGGGGCTGGCTTTTCTCTCAACCATGGTGCAGGTCTGTTTGAAGGATGTCCACCAAGGCCCTTCCTGCTCTAGCATGCTTGCAGGCCCTGCCTGGGTGTCCTCTCACACCTCTCTGCACACACGTGCATCTGCTCTTCTCGGCCTGGAGTACTTTCTTCCCGCCTGGCCCAAGCACACTGGCTCTGACTCATCCCGAGAAGCCCATGGCTGACATCGCCTCCCCAGGGAAGCTGGGGAAGGGCCAGGCATGCCCACAGACACTTTGGCATCCCTCCGTCACAGGAGAACCTGGGCACTGCCCTCCCACTGGGCTCTCACCTCCCAGGCTGCAGGCTTGCTGAGGCCAGGAGATAACTTTCCATCCTATACTTTTGGGGTCTAATGCCATGGAGGCCAGCACAAAAAAGGCAACCAGTGTGTATTAACAAATAAACGACCACGGCCTCGTGCCATGGAATAATCTGCCATTAGTAAATGTCCATGCTTAGCCCTTTCAAAAGAAGGACATTTTCTCTTTTTAGAAAAGCTTAAATCATTGTGAGATTACCCTACTCCAGGTCACAGCTTTAAACCATTTAGGGGCTCCTAGTGTGATAGGCTCTGGGATCACAGCTCCAGCCTCCTGGATTGAGAGACAGCAATCCCAGCTGCCCCCCCACCCAGGTCCAGCGGAGCCCCAGCCTCGGCGGTATCAGGATAAATGGGACAGTGGCCACTCATAAGCATCTTGCCTTAAGACAGCGAGCTGACGGGCAAAACCGTTCCCAGACACAGACCATATCCAAAGGCAATAAGGGCTACAATACCCTGAGAGCCCCCCCCAGGAGGTCTCCACCATGAGCAGGGGTCAGCCTGAGCACCACACCCCAGACGTGAGCTCCAGGCCTAGCACAGCACCGAGGCCGTGGGAGCAATCACTCTGGGGGCTGAGCCTGCCGCCTGCTTGCCAGGGAGTCTCAGCAGCTGGCTGCCAGGGCAGGCCCTCCCTACAGAAAGGTAAGAGGCTCTTTCCACAGGACAGTGAGGGCCAGGACTCTACTCTGCCATCCTGGTGTGGAGGCCCGCCAGCCCTAGGGACCTGCTGACTTAGCATGCTAGAAAAGGGCACGGCAGCTGTTCCAGGGAGAGGGCTCACTTCTCCTACCCCAGGACCATGCCTCTAAATGAACGCCCTGCCTCCCAGGCCACACCTGCCCTGCCCATACTGGGGCCCTGGGAGCCGGCAGGGCCACCCTGAACCTGAGGTCCCAGGCCCCATACTGCAGGACTACAGTGGAGAGGGGGCCTCAGCTGCTTCGCCTGTCTTCGTGACTCATGAAGGCAACCAGCTCTTCTGCCAAAGGGGGAGGGGGCAGAAGGGGCAGAAGGAGCCCCTACCATGTGAAATGCTAGGAGGCTGGGCCCCGGGCCTGGTTGCTGGGCAACGCTCCCACTTACAAGGCACCAAGGAGCGGAGAGCACTCAGCAATCCATCGGGCTGGACACAGCAAACCACTTCAACACACTAAAGAACAAATCCACAAAAGCCTAAGTGACCTCACTCAGAAAGGGCTTTCATTAAAGTTGATCTTCCTGAGGCAGCAGGGCAGAAACTAAAGGCACTCAAGGCCTTGAGAGCAAGTATAGTTCTTCAGGAGTCAAGGAAACCCAGGTGCCTTGAATTCAGCAACCCAGGGGGCCCTGCAGCTCTGCTCTGCCCCCACACCGAGGACCAGCCTGGCACATGGGTCACCCAGAGCCAGCATGCTGAGCCCCAAGGTCAACGCCAGGTACAGCTTCCAGGTTCCACCCAGAGCAAGGTGGACAAGGTGACCCTAATCGAGGGCTGAAGTGGTGAAGCCATGTGCAAAGAAAGCCAGTATGAAATGCGGGAGAAGCTGAACTCTATCCAATCCTCTTTTCGGGACCTTGAAAGGCCTATGGCCCTTTGCCAGCTCGGGATCGTAAGAAGCAACTGTACGTTCCCTGTCTATTCTTTCAAATTCAGCTGCTTGTATTTATAAAAGTACTTAAAGCATTTGAGGAATGTACCCACAGACTCCCACCCAGCAGGGTGCCCCAGTCCCCAGCATCAGCCTAAGCCAGGCAAATCTGGGGTCCCTCCCATGAGAGCCTCGCCAAGACATGGCTGTGGCACCCCTCCTCCTGGGGGAACACTCGAGACCCCTGCACTAGCCCAGGCCATCCCCACTACTGCCTCTCCTCCCAGACTCCTGGACCATGCACTGGTCCTTCCAGGGCTGGCAGTGGCCATCATGTGAGCCATCTGTCGTTCCAAGGCAGGCTCCTGCCATCTTTTCCTGGGGCTGCCCTCCATCGTCTCCCCTCCAAATCCATCCACCACAGAACCCGAGTCACCTTGCCAAAATGCCAATTTCAGTATGTTGCTTCCCTGGTCCCATGCGTGCCCTGCCTAGAGCATCCAGTGGAAAGGCCCTCACGTGGCTTGCAGGGCTCTGCAGGAGCTGCCCCAAGCCGCTGTTGGGCTCACTGCAGCCCAGCTCTCCCTCCCACGCCTCGATTCCTCACTCCGGTTGAAATGAGCACCCACCATTACCTGTCCCCTCCCAGATCAAGTGCCACCTCCTCCGTGTCGACATGCATACCACTCAGACTGCAGAGGTGTGCCCAGCACTGGGATTCACATCTAGGCCTTTTGTAGCCACTAGAGCCCCCACTCCTTGAGGACACCCGTCCGTGCCTGAGGCGCCTGGAATGACACATGGGTGTGCACGTGTCCATGCACCTGCTTATCATCCAACAGCCTGGAGCACATTTCAAGTATGTCCAACACTGTGCAGCAGCCTGGGGCTGACACACAAGTCCTGCCTGGCCACATGCCCTTCAGCAGCTCCCAGTGCTTTGGAGAGCCAGACAGGACAGCAGGCCAAGACAGACCCAATGGGCTGAGGGCTCTGGGAGGGGGTGTGCTCAAAAGGTTGTGGGTATCTGAGGGGAAAGAGGGATATGTTTTGCCCTGGGAGCCGGAGACTTTTAAAAAAGAGTTGGGACGTGTGAGCTGGGGACTTTTAAAAAAGAGTTGGGACGTGTGAGCTGGGTCTTTGAAGGTTATGCGGAGACCTGAGGGTGCTTCCGGGAGGGAGAGCAAAAGGGTACGAGAGTGCTCTGAGCAGAGGCCTGGGGAGGGCCTGGGGAGGGCCTGGAGGACAGGCTGCTGGAAATACAGAGGCTCAAACATGAAAATGCCTCCCCTCCCTCCCAGCCATTCGTAGGACACCCAGCCCAGGGCCAGGCCTGCTGGTGTCCCATGGCCTGGCAGGTACACCAGCTGGGTGCAGGCTGCATCCTCGCTGCTCCACCACCAGGCTCCTGTCCAGGCATCTTCCTGAGCTGCAAGGGCAGAGAGGCAAGGCTGAAGAAGAACAGGCCCAGACCTGGCCTCCTGAGAGACTCCTGTACCAACCGACCATGGCCACTCCAGAGAGGGCCCTGGGGGTCCTGCCCAACAACACAGGAGCCTGTGCTCCATGAGAGGCTTGGTCAAGCCTTCCCCACTGTAGCCTTGAGACAGATGCTCAGCTCATGGGCTGCTGCTCACAAGGAACAGACATTCCTTGGGACTTTCTGGATCTTTCCCTTTGCCATCTGGGTAGGCTCGGCTTCCCTTGCACAGAGCCAGGCACACCCACCAGGGCACTCCTTGACCTGAAGGACTGGGAAACAGGGTCTTGGCCCTGCTTGTCACTCCTCAATGGCAAGATGCAAGACAGTTCACAAGTCCAGGCTGAGGATGAAAGGATCGAGGCCCCTGCCAGCTCTGAAACTAGTAAAGCAAAAGGAGAACACTCAGAAGCCCAGCTCAGCACTTTAGCAAGGCGGCAAACAGACCCGCTAAAGCACTGGCATGGGGGCTGGGGGCAGCACTCTCAAGGCAAATTTGAGCATGGTTTCCATGGCTGGCACCTCTTACCCAAACAGCTGTTCTCACGGTGACCTGGAGTAGGGTATGGAGCCATCTGGGAGTACCACTACTTATAAAAATATCAAACACCTATCTTTCCCAGGCGGGCTGAGCGGCGCCTGGTGTACCCCAGGGATGGGGAGGAAGAAACAAAGATGTTACCGAACACACATCCACTCCAGGATTTCCAAGCGGTACTTCGAGGGACTACACAGCAGTTCCTGAATGGTCTTAGGTTCTGTGATATAAAGACCCTCAAGGACCGGGCAGTTGAGAGCCTAAGCAAGGAAAGGAAAACCAGGAAGCTTTAGAAATCGAGGAGGACTTCAGGGCTGAAATGCTCCTCCCTTCACACACATTTCCTACCCACCAAGCACACACCAGGCTTGTTAGCACACATGGGCTCCGCAACCCCCACCGCCCCCTGGCAGCGCCCTCCCTCCATCTTGCCCAGAGTTAAAGTTTCCTCATTCTCAGTCCACATCCCCAGGGGCCTGTCACCCCACCTCCTTTAAGTACTCCCGCTCTAGCCTCATGTAGCAGTTTAACCTAGTAGCAACTAGGGGCTTTGGCAAGACTCCGAGATTCTGATCCAGGCTCCCAGCTATGGGACCACAGGGAAGGGCCAGGGAGAAGGCAGAGAGCACCTATCTGGAGTACGCGGGGGGGGGGGGGGGGGGGGGGGGGGGGGCGGGAGGAAGGGGGGGGGGGGGAGGGGGATGGGGGACAGGCAAGGGGGGGTGAGGCAGAGCAGCGGCGGTTCGTGTGGCACCTGGGATGGCAATCTGACCTCGTAGGGCGGGTTTCCTCACTACTGCCACCACGAGCATCTGACTCTGACTCGACAGGGTGGCACGGACTCTGCCTGTCTCCCCCTAGACCCCGTGAGCTCCCTGAGGCCAGGGCCCGTGCCCTCCCCGTGTCTGCATTTGCTTCGTGCGCCCGGCAAGGTCCTGCAGAATTCCTGCAACGTAAGTTAAGGTGCAGCACGCGCGTGGCGCCGGCCCGAACTAACACGCACGGACCACGGAGACAGCAAGCGCGAAGGCCCAAGGCCGCCCAAGGAGCAGAGACCGGACACAGGCCGCGGCCGGGAACTGGCCGCGCGTGTGGCGCTGCCGACTTCCGCAGTAGGCCCTGCCCACCCCGCCGCCCTGGCCCCCGCTGCCCCCGGCGGGGGGGGGGGGGGGCGCCCCCCGGCCCCGCCCCCCCCGCCCCCCCCCCCCCCCCCCCCCCCCCCCCGCCGCGCCCTCCCCTTGGGCCGCAGCTCCACGCGCGCCTGGGCACCACCCAGGAGGCGGGCCTCGGGGGAAAGGGCGGGGCGCGGGCGAGCTGGGCCGGGCCCTCTTTGGCCCCCTCGCTCGCGTCGCCCCTGCTAGCCGCCCCGGCCGAGCGGGCGTCGGGGCGAGCCTTCGCCAGAAGAGGGCGCTCCTGCCTCGGTCGGGTTCTCTGGAGGATGGAGAGGCGCCCGGCGGGTGGGACTTAACTGGGACTGAGCGTCCTGGCTCCCTGTGCGGGGCTCTATATCCCGCCCTGTGTGGGGCTCTATCTCCGTTTTCCCACACTCACAGCTGTAGTTAGAGGGAAGTTCCTTGTGTTCCAATCCGACCCCACTACTCACTAGCTGGGTGACTTTGGGCAGGTTACCTAACCTCTCTGTGCCTTCTTGCCCTCACCTAATGGGGAATAAATGAGAGCACTTACCTCATTGGATGGCTGTGAAGACGGAATGAGATAATAATTCCTATGACAATGCCTGGCACGTACAAAGCACTGTGTAGATGTTCACTGTTATTATGCCGGACCCTGCTACTTTCCCCCCCTCCTCCCCCACTCTGTCTTTCATCTTCCTGGAAGGTTCTGTGGCTCCTTCCCGCCCTGTCCACTTACAAATTTCTTTGCATCTCTCACAGCCCTCAAACTCAATGAGTCTGGCATGAAATCTGACAACCCATCTGTCTCCAGACCTCCAACGCCCCCATCCCTGGGACCTGCTGATCTGAGGAGGCGGGAAAGAGCTGAAGAGTGGCTGCTGCCCAGGGAGTCGGGAGCCAGGGCAGGCAACTGCTGCCAGCTCAGTCCTCTGTGCCCTGCCCTGCCACCTCCTGGAAAGAGGGACCAAGAGGTAAATCTAGAGACAGGGAGACCCAGGGACCCGGCAGGACGCAACTGCAGTCCTCTGAGTGACAGGAAAGGGCTCTCAGCTCTGTCCCAGGACGAGGGGGCAGGAGTCTGGGTTAACAGCAAAAGACCCGAGCCTGGCCTTGTGGGGCAGGACCTGATTCCCTACTGAATGGTTTGTAATTCCGAGCTATTCTGAGGACACAGAGCCTTGGAAGTGAGCTGAAGGGACATGCAAAGCACCATAAGGCCCCTTCCCCTGTCCAGCATGGTTGCCGCCTTGGGCCCTTCTGGCAGCTGAAGGCTGGTTTTTTTTTTTTTTTTAATCTTTTTTTTTTTCTCTTTTTGTTTTTGTTTTTCTTTCTTTCTTTTTAAAAAATTTCATTTCAATCACAGCCCCAGCTCAGACATTCAAATTCTTGTGGGTTTTTCTGTGGATCTTTCCTAGGACTGGGGAATTTGGCGGGAGAAACCACAGCAGTGTGGTGGCCTCCCCCACCCTCCCCATATCCTCTGCTCCTAAGGATCAGGAAGAAACAAGCCCCTGTGTATTCTGGAAGAAAATTCCCCTTCTCCACCCAGCCCGATGGAGCCAGTACTCTAAGCAGTCCTTCCCCAACTCAGCAGCTCTGTCTATGGCATGGGGTGGGACGTGGAGGGATTGACAGGGCCTCGAAGGGAGAAAACCATCTTGAGAGGTCATGGGGTCCGTCGTCCTGTACGGAGGGTGTGCTGGCCAGCCCTCAGCTCACGGAGATGGCTGCCGAAGACCTGCGCACACCACCACTAAATCATGGTGCCTCCCAAACGTCCTCCACCGGAAAGGCTGGAGGCTGGGATGGAAACAGAGACTGCTGGGCCTCTCACGGAGGGGGGAAAGAAGGAGCCGGCTGATAGAAGCTTCTGGAAACTTGAACTCAAGCGCAACACAAGGAAGCACCTCTCCCAGAGGACACTGCCTAAACCCCGGCTGGCTGCCCAGAAAGGGAGAACACTCCCTGTCTTGGGAGGTGTGTAAGCCCAGGGAGGTGGGTAAGGCTGCGAAAGGGTGGGTAACTACAGTGAGGAGGGAGAGGACAGGCCTCTAAGAGGCATTTCTGCCCAAAGCCCCCGGGTTCTGGGAAGGAGGCTTGCGTGGGTGAGGGGCCAAAAATGAGGCTGAAGGATCTGTCCCCCTAGGAGGGGATTCGGTAGGAACAGGGGGTCAGTGGAGAGTATGGATCCCTGGGCAGATGGAGGCACTTCATGCAACAAGAGCCAACCTCCTGATCATGGCGGAAACTTGGCCATGGGTCCCAGCAGGGCCTCAGCCATGTGTCAGTACTTGGAAAACAGGCTGGAAATTGAGGCCAGTTGACAGGCCCTGGCCCCACCGTGCCAGGGACGGGCTGGCAGGCAGTGCAGGCCAAGGCAGCCAGCCACGTGAGGCACGTCACTTTGTGCAGTGGGCGCAGAAATGGACGGCCAACCAGATACCTTCACTCAACAGCCTCCCTGCCCTGGAGCAGCAGCTGTTGGTGGGAGCTGTGCAGGGCGTCAGGCAAGAGGAAGGTCCCTGAGAGCATCTCCACTGCAATGTTGAGGCTGTCTTTAGCAACAGATCCCAGGGTTCAGGGGGAATCTTAACCAGGGCTCCCCTGGTTAATCAAGCAGACATGGCCAATCAAGCTGCCACCATGGGCCTGACAGATGTGAGCCTGCCACAGGCATAGGCTTGGGGGAGTCTAGCAGGCTCCCACCCAAGTACCGGATGGATGAGACTATCAATCTAGGAGCTGACTGATGACAACCAATTCTAGGATGCTGTCCTTCTAGATCTCCGTGTGGACACCGGAAGTCTACCGGTTTGTGAGGAGGGAGAGGCTGTCCTGGGACTTTGCCCTCCTCTTCCTGTCACTTCTGGTCCCTGTGCTAGGGCAGGGACCATGGCAACCTAAGGTGGGGACAGCTGGCTCCCTGCTCACAGGAAACCTAAGGAAACCTTGGCCTGCCCTGGGCCTCCTGCTTCAGGGCCCCAGCCTCACCTCCTGCTGCTGAGGGGCCCTTGGAGCCAAGGGGACGCCAACAGCTCCCAGGCCACAGTCTCCTGCAAGGGCACATTTCACACGCCTAAGACCCAGATCAGATCTCAGACGACTCCTAGGGTCTGAGAGGATCTGTGAAGTCCATCCACCTTGCAGGCATTTGTAGGGGTGTGGACAGAGCCAGGCTGCGGGCCCGGAGGTGGACCCATGAGTCCTCTCCTAGCCCCCATGGATCTAGGGGTGAGAATGAACACGGGGCTGGAGGGGGCCCCAGCGGACATGGTCACGGTCTTCACGTGCCTTCCTGACCCAGGCTCCAAAACTGGGATGGGGAGGGCTGCAGGCTGGGCCCCTGGAGGCCTTTGGGATCCCAGCTCAAGCGCTCGTGCTCCTCTTCTGCAGGGGCCCAGGCTGCGATGCACCGGGGCAGGGTGAGGGGTGGGGACAGCTGCGCGGCAGGGGCGGGGGGGGGGGGGGGGGGGTGGCTGCAGGTGGGCCAGGGCTCAGGCGCCCCGGGGCCGCAGAAGAGGAAATGGCGGGCAGGATGGCCCCCTCCACAGGGAGACACTCGGGTCTAGACGGCTTGGCAAAGCCGGCCGGACTGAGTCACATGCGTCTGGAGCTGGAGACGCAGGCGCCAGGACTGGAACACGAACGTGCCCACTGCAGAGGGCCAGGCGGGGGAGGGGACGCTCAACCTTGGCTTCCCAGTGCCCTGCCCCCAGCTAAGCACCCAGCCTCTGATCCCTGCCCGAGCCCCCCCCCCCGCCCCCCACCATGCCCATCTGGTGGCGCAGAGGTTAGCTTCCGCACGGAGTGGAGCAGGGCCCGCGTTATCGGTAGGAACCAACTGAATTTCAGAGGGGGAAGGGAGATGGGCAAGTGGCTCCCACGTGCCCCCATCGTAATTGCGGCCCTCCTCCCTCAACCCAGCAACAACAGCCACCTGGGACCTTTTTGCCCCAAAGCCACCCTGGCCGCACTCCCCCCAGCCCAGGCCCACCTTCTACAGACACTCGGCAGCTGAAAAGCAGTGGCACCTTACTCTCCACCACCCCATCCCCAGCCACCATTGTCCTGCTTGGGGGGGTCCCGTGCCCCCTTCCCTCCTTCTCCTTCCTCCATCTCTCGGTCTCTCTCGCCCTCCCCCTCCCTCTCTCCCTCCCTCACTCAGGAACACCGGGTCTCTGGATGGGCTGATGTATTCAGGGCTCACAAAAGCATCTGCAGAAAAAGTTGTTTAATTGGGACCAGATCCTCTGAGGTTTTAATGGCATTACAGCCAGACGGGTCTTCTCTAGGGAAGAAACTGCTGGCAACAGGAAGAGAACACAGAAAGTTTGGCTCTTTTCTTCTCAAAGCTTGAAGGGGGGAAAGGCCCGTGTGCCTTTATTTATATACTAGAGATGCCTGAGGACGCACGCTGACAGTCCCTCCCACAGATTCCCACGGAGAGAGCCCAGCACCCACGTGCCTCTGCACCTGCGCGCAGGCACTCAGGGACACCCGGGTTTCCGTGTGACTTGGACACGACGATGAAGGCTCAAGAACAGGCCTGCTCCCTTGTTCTGGTGGTCACCCCAAGGGCGTGTCTTTGGCTGCAGAGCCACTGTTCTGCCGTGGCTCCTGCCAGAAGGCCTGGTACGCAGTAGGGGCCTGAGGCACGTATCAAATGACGGATAGTGGGAGGGCAGGACTAGCCGCCCGGACCTTGGCCCCAAGCTTTGCATTCATGCACGGAGCTACCTTCTGGACATCACCACTTGGCTGTCTAACCACCACCCTCACACCTGACAGGTCGGGAGGAGGATTCCTGAGCTTCTGCCCCAGGCTCACTCCGCCCTCAGCATTCCGACTCTCCCCACTTCCCTCACCTGCAGCCTCCACCCTGCACCGGCCACCCTCACCTCTTCCCTACGGGGTGCAGCTGCCTCCACGCTGGCTCCTATCTCCTCGCTCGTGGCCCCAACAAGTCAGTGTTCCCCTGCAGCCTGTGAAATCCTTTGACAATGTAAGTCGGATCACGTGAGTCCCCTGCTCAGAAGCCCACCGTGGCTCCCCGTTTCCTTCAAGGTTACAGGCAAAATCAGCCTGCCGCCCACAGAACGCCCTAGGAAGCTAGCCCTGCCGCCCTCCCCCAGCCTCTCCCTCACCCAGCCTGCTGCCCCACACTGGCCTACTTGCTGATTCCCCCGCTCTGTTCTGCCTCCCAGCCTCGCGCTGGCCATCCTGCCCTTGTGAAGGGCAGGCAGAGCTCCAGGGAAGAGTCCCCCCAAATGTTACCTCCTCACGGTCCTCATCTGAACCCCCATCGAAAGTACCCCTCCCTCTAGTCACCATGGCCATCTCTTTCCTTCTGATGGGGTCCCTGTGCTCCCCCCACACACACAGCCAGCTCAGGGAGCGCAGGACAGCTGGCCGTGTGCCTCCCCACCCAGTGCCCCGGCATGGCGCCTGGCCCACAGCAAGAGCTCGGGAACGTTCCCTGAGCAAAGAATCCATTTTCCAAGCCTCTCTTGATGGGAGGAGAGCTCTCAGCTATGCAGTTCTAAGGAGGCTTGAGGGATGAGGACTGTTGCTTTGGCATCCTCCTGGCTCCCAATCAGAGCCCCCAACTTGTGCGGGTACGTGTGCACATGGGTATGCCTGAGTGTGTGGACAGTGGGCCACGTGCAAGGGCAGGGCAGGAGAACAAGAACCGGGAGTCTGTTCCTTGCCCTTAGAATCCTAGGATTGTGCAGCCGGAAGCAACCTCAGTCATCTAATGTAACTCCAGGCCCCTTCCAGCTCTCAGATTCTAGAACTCTGTAAGGAGTGCACACCCACTACATTAAGATGGAGAGACCGAGGCCCTGAGCAGGGAGACTTGTTCCCGACATCACATGGCCAGTCTGTCCAGGGCAGAGCTGTGAGCCCAAAACTCTTTCCAGCAACCCCCAGGCTGTATCCCTGGTTCCTGGAAAATCCCGACGCCCCTCCCGCCCCGCGCTCCAGACAGTAGGCTCAGGGTTAGTGTTGGCCGGGGGCCCTGCCTGTCCCAGCCCAAGTCCACGAGTGAGCTCTGTGTGTAGGAGGGGTGGGTGTGGGAGGGTACCTCAAGGTCTGCTGAGCCCCCCACCCCTGCAGGCTGGCTCTGCTCTCTGGGGGTCTCCTCAAGGTCCCCATGATGTCCAGGTACTGCGAGACTGGACAGAGCAGGTAGCCAGGTGGCCACTGGGTCCCCACAGGAGAAGGACAGGGCCCAGGCCTCGCCCCTTCCCGCCTAGGTGGGTAGAAGCGGGGTCCCTCCCTCCTCCAGACTGCTGTGCCAGAGAAACCTGGGAGCAAGCTTCCTCCCACCCCCAGCCCGGCTAATGGGAACCAGATGGCAGGATGTTTAGTCAGCGCCTGGGGAGCGGCATGAACAGGGGAAATGGGTTGGGGGCCAGGATTCCAGAATCCATCCCCAGGCAGGGGGGGCGGTCAGAGCAAGGGCTCCCACCACAGTCCCACTCCAGGGACCCACCTCAGGAAGGGTCCTTACCCCTCCTCAGACAATGCCTTGACTTGGGCAAGCCCTACCCCCCTTGCTTCCTTCTCTGTCCTGGGGAGGCTGGGAGCGCTCAGTCTTCCGGGTTCCCCGGGCAAACTTCTCGTAGTCTCCCCGGCACATCTCTGGCCTCCCTTGCCTAAGTCCTCCCCCGCCCAGAGCTTCAGCAGTCCTCCAGCCCAGGACATCCTGTGTCACCCAGGGCCACACAGGCACACCAGTGGCTTCATCCTTGGCTCCCAAAGTACTTGCTTCATGCTCACTCCACAGACAGTCTCTGTCTCTGGCCTGTGTGTGGCGCAGCTCCACATTCAGGCCATAAACCAGAGCCCTGGATGGGACAAGGGAGAGGGTGCCAATGGACCCTGTGTGGCTCTTACAAGACTGTCAGCTGGCATGGGGGCTCCCTGAAGGCAGCAACCCCCCTGTCCCCACTGCACCCTGCTCACAGACCCATGTATGCAAATGTCGAGGAGCCCAGTGAAGACCCTCTTGCTGGGGACTCCCCGCCCTAACCTCCCACCACCCCCTCCTGCATCTCACACACTCCCCTGTGGCCCTGGACAGAGACCTTGAACCCCAGATGGTGGTGGGAAGCTCCTTCCAGATGGCCCTTCCTGGCCCTGCTCCCCCCTCCCTGCACCCTCCCCCAGCTTCCCTCTCTCCCCTCCACCCAAGCCTTGCCCACAATTAACTCATTTTTTCAGATCGCTTCCAAACATAAGTCAACGCTGGACAGAGCTGTAGGAAAAGCTTCCTCAAAGCTGGCCCCAAAGAGCCATGTGGTGAGACGGGGCCTCTTTGCCAGCCCCCCACCCCCCGCCCATCCGCCCGCCCTCGGCTCCCACAGCAGGGCCTGGGGCTGGGGCCCTCCGAGGGTTGGCCCAGAGGCCTGTGGCCAGACACCTCCTTCTTTGCCTCTTGCTCCTTCCCTCAGGCCCGGCTTCCTTTCCACCTTTGCCCCATCCTGGCCCGCAGGTGCCCCTCTGACCAAGAGGACGTGCCCGAGGCAAGGGGGCATCTTGGGACTGCCTGATGACAGTGGTCACACTGGGACCCAGCAGCCCCTGGTTCACACACAGTTTAGTGTGGGGGTGGGGGTGCAGCTGGGGAGGCTGCAGATGTGTAACTCCACCCCCCTCCGCTTTTTCCAGAGGAGAAAATGGAGGTCTGGAGCAAAGGGAGCTGCCTCCAGGTAGTCTCGGGGAGCTGGTACGGGGACTAACCCGAGGTGGCCTGTGCCCAGGGGGCACTGGGGCCCCGAGAGCTGGGGTCCCTGCTTGCCACCCTAGCTCTGCCCAGCTGTGGTTTCCTCCGAAATTGGGAGGCCTCGGCACTGGCACCCGTGGCAGAAGCCCACAGGCTTGGCAGGTTCCGGGCAGCCCTGGCACCTGCCCTCTATCCCGAGGGCCCAGAAAGCCCTGAGGCCTGCCGCTTGCAAGGCCCAGCCCCTCTCCTTTCCCAGCTACGGACGTAGGACCTGGCAGCCTGGGGTGGGCGGCTTGCCCCGGGGTGGGCCTCGCAGGTCCACTGTATATAGAGACAGAAACCCCATTCATGGGGGCCACTGGGCCTGGTCCAGTGGAGAATAAATGCAGGCCTTACAGCAACAGACCAAGAGCACTCGAGTCCAAGAAAAAAATCAATCTCTCTTTCTCTTCAGGTGGGAGAAGGGGATGTTGGGGGAGGTTGGAGGCAAGGCCTAGGGAGGTGTTTGTTTTGGGGGAGCCTTCCTGGGGGGAGGGCTGGGGCAGGTCGGGGAGGCTCCTAGGGCTGCAGCCAGGACCCGGAGCTTGCGGTGCCCCACCCTGCTGCGGCTGCCGCTTCCACCCCCTCCCAGCTAGTCATCCCCTCTGCCGGCCCAGCAGGCCCGTGCAGCCCAAGCGAAGTGGCCATGAAGAGCATGATGCTCCCAGTCCTGGCTCTCTGGGTGGGGAGTGGCCTTGGAGGTGCCCTGACCAAGCAGGGGCCGAGCCTGAGAGAGCCCACGGCCACACCAACCCCCGTGGGCACGCTGACCCTGCAGCCATTGCCGCCCAGCGGGCCTGGGCCCCCCAGTGGTGAGTAGGTGGCACCAGCAGGAAAAGGCTGGTAGTAGGGGAACACTCGACCTTGTTATTAGAATCTTCCCCCCACTCTGCCCCAGGGGCAGGAGCGGAAGGAGAGAAGGCTGCTCACCCCAAGGCTGCCCACCCAGTGCTCACCTTGGGTGCTTCCAAGGGGTTTAGGAGGGACCCATGGGCCTCAGGGAACCCTCTCAGGAGGGCAAGGGGGGATGGCGGGGCCTGGGAGGCCTGGTGCCCATAGCCCAGAGCGAGGGCAGGGGAGGAAAGGAAGCCCCCCCTAGGAGGGACCACTATAGCTGGGGCTGGAGTAATGGATCCAGGTTTGCTGGGTGGGGAGCCTGCTGCCCTAAGACCTACTGAGGAGACCGGGAGACATGTGGGAGGCTGAAAGTGGGGGGACCCAGGGCGTGGGAGGGGTGGCACAAGCGGCCCCAGGAGACCAGCTACAGTGTGACCTTCATGCTTGGTTGCCCCGCCC